GCCCTCAGGGTTATCAGCAGCTGGATCGTTATTCTGAAAAATCTAATTTCGGGTCTTAGATTATTCAAAGGAAGGATTTTCCTATCTCCTGTAGGGATTTAGTCCTTGGATCTTGCCTCTACTTACAGACAGATGAATGTCTTAGAAAATCTGTAAGACCTCAGCTCAGTAAGATATCATGGTCAGCTTCTATTGGCATGCACTCCCTGAAGCTTGCATTATACATCCAGGTGCGTGGTTGTGTGTTTTGGGCTACAGATGGCAATCGTTTCTTCTTTTTTTTGTGCTGATCATTGTAATGAAGATTTGGTCTGTGATTGTGCCTTTAAGAGATAATCAGCACTTAATAAATAAGAGCATTTTAAAAGTGCTAAAAAGCACAGTTAGTCATATGCTGGTTGCATAAGTGTAATTTTGCTACCTTTTTTAGAGTACCTTAAAATCTGTACATAAGGGTTTCTGTGATAATTTGCTATTGTATCTGGTTTTATGCTGGTAAACATTCAGCAGAATAATTTATGACGCTATGTGCCATCTGCTGTAAGCTGTCATAAAATTAATTTATTCTGCCTAGTTATGGATATTGTCTTCTGTATGAAGTTGGTTTCTGGAGTGCCTTCTCCTAACAAGAGGCAGGTGGTGCTTCCACCATCCAGGTAGTGGATTTCAGATAGGGATGTCTTTAGAGGATTTCAGGATTTAGTTGCAACATATAACGGGTTGCCATTTCATGAACAAATAGTTCTCCAGGCACAAACCCTACTCACCTGTGATTTTCTTAGAAACATCACAAATTCCTCAGCTTAAAAATACAATGTATGGTGACTGCAGGTGTCCTGGAGAGCAAGCAGTGCCCTCTGCCTGTTGCAGTGGCATCGGGGTGAGTCTATGGGACAGAAAGGAGGAGGCTGATGCTGCAGCAGTATCGGGTAGTACATGTGCACATGCTGTAGCACAGCACATAGATCACCATGGGGACAGCACTGCTTTGGTGGCTGCCAAGGGGACACCTTCCAGGGGACTGGGACATGGTAGCAAGGGTGCTCCCAGGCTCCCAGGTGACACAGTGACAGGGAACAAAGGCAGCCCTGAGAGACACCGGGTGCAGCAACACATTGATGACAGTGTGCTGTGGTCTCACGCTGCTTGTGCTGGTTGCAGTTTTTCATCATTCCTGTCGGTTCTTCTCCAAGCAACTGCTGGAAGGCACCACACAAGTGTTTAAAGTAAATCAAGTATTTTTGGCAATAAAAACATTTGTTTTGCTGAAGTTTTAATGAAAGAATTTCTTATTTCTTTTGGCCATATGTCTCTGATTTCGGTCTGTTAGTAAGACTAAGCACTGCTTGTTGTGTTTGTGTTGTGTTGCTGTGTTGCAAATAACAGAGGGAAATGCCCATTACACAAAGCAAAACACATGTAAAATGCAGAGAGCTATTTTGTTTACTACAGGGATTGCCTTTGTTTTAACAAATCTTCCTTTCCATATTGTTTGGGAAACTGCCAGGTAGCCCAGTGACACGCAGGGGCCTCTGAAGAAGGAGCAGGAGCACAGCGGCAGTGCCTGCCAGAGGGGGCAAAAATTGTTCTGCCCAGTAAGTGAGCAAAGGAGGTATTTTCCCAGCTTCTTCAAAAGCAGAATTAATTTGACATTAAGCAGTTGGTATCTTAATTAGGAATAAGGCCTGAGGAGAAGAACACCTCCCTGGAGGTGTCGATGACCAGGTTGGACAAGGACAAACTGGTCTAGTGGGTGGCATCGCTGCCTGGCAGAGGGTTGGAACCAGATGGTCTTTTAGGTCCCTTCCAACGCAAGCATTTCTGTGATTGTATGATTCTGAATTGGAGACTGAAGCCTCCCACTTGAAGCAGAGCAAGATGAGAGTAACCAAGATGGGAGGTACAAGCCATTCTCCCCACATAAAAGTGGGAGGAATTCAATGTCCTGCACATCTCCTGGGGTGTTCAGATCTTCAGCCAAGCTTCAGTGCCTCTGGAAGCTTCGCTAAAGAAGCCCTGCAGGCACCTGCACTGTGTAACATATTCACAAGTGATCTGTACTGGCAAAGAAACAGTATTTATTGATGTTAACAAATAAGGATAGTAAAAACAAGGCCTGGCTGTACGAATTGCAGGAAGATTTCATGAGACTCGGCGACTGTGTGTTAAAATGGCAGATGGAAGTCGGTTTTGATAAATGGAAAATGAGGCACACAGGGAAAAAACACCCCTAACTTCACACATAAAATCATGGGTTGTCTTACCATTTACCACTTGGGGAAGAGATCTGAGAGTTGTAATAAATGGTTTTCTGCAAAATTCAGCTCAATTCTCAGAGTGGTCAGAAAGGCAAATTAGATTTTATGTATTATAAAGCAGGAGATAACGAAGAGTCAGAAAATATCATTATGCTATTATGCAAATCCCAGTGTGCCATCAGACTGCATAGGCACCTCCAGTAATCCCATCTGAAAACTTATGTAGCAGAATGGGAAAAGATTCATGGAAAGGCAACAAAATGTGATCAAAGATTCCCAAATGGCTTACTCTACTACAAGCAAGGTAGCTTGCAGAGTAACCTAGAACTTTTGTTTAATTTTTAATTCTTACAATTTTTCTAACATCAGAAGAGTGATAACTCAAGGAAAATGTGGTTTTACATCAAAAGCCCTAGATAAAAGATAAAGTGTCATGAATGGCACAGGAAGGTATAGAGGGAATGATTGTTCAATGTCTGCTCTAGTAGGACAACCAGAGGGCACCAAATTAATTATTTAATAAAAAAAAAAAAATAATGTAAGTTCAAGCTTTTTACACTTAATGAGCAATTCCTTTCTGTTCTGAATATACTGTGTAACTCTGCTGCAGGACAGGTGGACGCTGAAAAGAACTGGCTTCAAAAAACATCTAGAAAAATTAACAAAAGAGAAACTCATCAAGGGCTCCCAAATATAGTGACACCAATTTTTGGTTCAAGAAGCTTCTGGGGAATCTCCAAGTTGCTGGAAGCTGGAAGAGTGTTGTGGAGGGACCTCATTGCAATGCTTGCCCCATCGTTTGCTCTTCAGAGGTGGATTACAGGTCTCCCCAGCCCTCTGGTTGCACCCTGTGTGCTCCTCTTTCTCTCTTTATGTTCTGTTCTCTTGAAACCAATGGAAGACCTATCACTGGATGTTTTTATGGCCAGGTAGCATGCTATTTCTTAGAATTATATCCATAGCAGTTGTTGATTCAATAATGTCTTCGTGTTATAGAAAATGTGCAGACATAGTTCTTTGTCTTAGTTATTGCCCATTGGCTTCACACAGTCTATCAGTTTCCTTGGCTTCTGTGCTCTAATCCCTGGCATTTACTACTTTGGCAATAAGCATTTTTTGTGCTATTTGTCAGCTAGATTGTTGCATTATGCAGCATTTTAAATGTAGGCTTCTTATCTGGCCTATTCATCTAGGTTCCTTCTGTAGTGAATAATCATAAAAAAAAAATAGTCATTTCCCACAAACAACTTTATTCTGAGGCAGGAGAGATGTAATAACCCAATATATTTTCTTCAGTGACAAGTTGGGAACAGTACATTCCTACAAAGGAAAGAAGAAACCGTGGTACTTCCTATGGGGAAGGTGAAAATTTTTATGCTGCTTCCATGGACCTAGCAGAAAATCTGCAAAGCTGGGGTGGGAATAAAGCCTGGCATTACAGAGGGGAGAAGGGTGGAGGAGGATGATTAGAAAATTCTTCTAGTGTCTTCACTGAAAAAAAAAAAAAAAAAAAAAAAAAAAAAAAACTATTATATTGCATCACTAACCTTTACACAGATGAGATGAATCACCCTTTGGAGATAATTGTCTCTCCATTAACTGCAGAGGTTTACACTTGGATTAGACCAGAAACCTCAATTTCAGACAGCTAATGTTAGCTGGGATGAGTATCAACTTCACTGACACTGGCCTCTGAAAACAAAGTCAGGTGTTCTGACTGACTCCTGAGTCACTTCGGTCACTTCAATAGTTACTGTTACAGTCAGAGAAATCTGACAAATCTTCATCTAGCCTGACATTTGGAAGTATCCTTTTTTTCCTCTTGTTTCTCCAGCCTTGAGGATTGCCATCTTTGATTCCTGGCTTACAGAGCAAATTTGTGTTGATTGCACTACTCTCCATAGTAAGACAGATCAGTATTACCCCCGAGTAGCTGAATAATAAGCTGAGTGAGCTACATAATTAACTAACTGCAAGATAAGTGCTTCAAAACCATGGCTCTGAGGTGTACTCATCGTTATGCAGATAGCTGCTAAAGGTTCCTTAATTCAGCAAAGAATCTGATTGGAAACTCTTCAGCATCTCATGAAAGTCACTTGGCCCTATATATAAATATATATATGTATATTTATTGACTGTCCAGAAATGGAGAAATAAAATGTCTCTACAGATAGTAGATGCAGCAGCTAAATCTAATGATCTGTGACTGTCTGGGTGTCACTCTGAGGAAGGCAGTACCAGGCAGTGGTAGAGACCACAAGCATCATTGAGAAAATCACAGCCACAGGGAAACCCACTTTGATGCCTGTTTTTGGCAACTTTCCCCCTGAAAGCAGAGCAGCTGCTGCAGTGTGGAAGCCCTTACTTGCATCAAACTGCAACTACACCTGGTTGACGTGGCTCCCTTCAGCAAGGCACAAAGGTTCGTGCTTGATGTTTCATTTACTTCTAGTGCTTAGCACTCCTTTGCGGTATTGCTCATCAGCACAAGTATGAACTGAGGAGCAGCTGGTGAGGTATGATCAGACGTTGACTGTGTGCAGCCCACTGATCATACTAAGCAATTCTTATATTACCAGAGAATTCTTAACCAGGTAAGAATATTGCTGCTAGCAGTAGTGCTATTCACCATTTGGAGGGCACAGAGGGTTTGCTTATTGGTGTAATGGTAAATAGAGCCTTTTCTGAACTGTCCATTCACGGTGAAATGTGTGGAAATGTTCTGAATAAGCATCGCATATGTCTGTGCACATCTGCATTTTTAATGCTAGCAGAAAGCCAACTCTAGCAGTGGTAGGGACAGCCAAAGATGCTACGCACATCGTTAAACACTAGGCGTCTCCCTTGGTGTATTTATTCAGCTCGGAACTGTAGGGTGTCACGGTCCAAGGGAAATGGAGTAGTTGTGAAAGCCAGTTCGTAAATCTATGCAAAATATGTGTAATGATAACTAGATTTGTCCATACAACAGACTTCCAAGCTTGCTGTGCATACAGAGGAATCAAATGCGATGTGTCTGAAATCAAATTAGTGATATTGCAATATTTGGTGCAAAACAAAACAGTGGAGATAAATACTGCTACATAAGAAGTTGCCAGCACCCACCTGTTAGTCTGAGTTAATTGATGCTCAGGTCCCCTCCCTGTAAAAGAGTGCTCCAAGAGGTGGACCTGGCTAAGTTTGAATGCGGCAGCTGGCTGAGGAGATTGTACATGCAGGAGATGTATGTGGGCAAGCGTCAGTGCTCAGCTGAAAGAAAATTCATGTGAAGGAAGGAGAGAGGCTTGGGCCTGGTGGTCCCCAGAGGCCCTGCCAGCCTCAGCCACTCAAGGATTCTGTGAACTGTAATTTGACTAACGAAGAAACTTTCTCTAGCACTGGGACGTGTTTGGGTGTTACTTTCTTGCAGACAGAACCCAACCTGATGTAAGCTTCAGAGAAAGAAAGGAGGAAGGAAGAGAAGTATTCATCTACTCTTTACTCATCTACTCAGCTCTTTATAGTTTAGACAAAAGTAAGTGCAACTGCTGAACCTTTTAGTCACATGAGTTGATAATAATAAAACTAACTGTAAGAAAATAAATTAAAGCAGAATGGGGGTTAAATCCCTATAGTTTTGGTTTTTGTTTTTTTTGTTTTTTCGCTGCTCCTTATAGACATCTTTCCTTTTGTCACCTTTTTAATTTACCCCAAATTAATACAGGTTTCTAAATTTCAAAACTGGTTATGTTTTGCTATGAATTTTGGTATAACAAATTCCTGCATTGGAAGATTGATGGATTTGATTTTTGTGCATCTCTGTCTGTAACCAAAAATCAAAAGCAATTGTTCATCTTCCAGACTACAGCTATTTTAAAATACTAGCCAAGTGCTACTGGTGGCAGCATAGACTTCTGTTATTAACACTCACAGACTGGATTTTGGTAGTCTGCTCCTGGATATAACACAGACCAAAACAATTGCTAAGGATAGCCCTGAGCTCTCAAATTTATTTTAGAATTATTGCATATTGTTATGTTGGGAATTACATGAAACATTTCCGAACGTTTCAGAACAGACAACTGCATCAACAGGAACCTGCCTGCAAATCAGATCATGTGTAAGGCGTATTAGTCATCTCAGCTACGCAGGTAGAAATTTTAGACTAGGGAATTCAACACAGGCAGCTTGCTTGCTTATTTATTTATTTATTACATGAAGCTGTGCGTGAGCAGAGCAGCAAGAAAACAAAAGACACTGCTTACTCCAACCTAGTCAGTCATTTAGGCTCTCTGTTCAGTCAGGGGCTCTGCTTGTAAGCCCTTTCACAGGGCACATTATCCTGTTTTAAGATAGATGTCAGAGACAGGTGGAATTAATCACATTCTAGGGATGCCTCTAACTCACCACTGACCAAAGAAACAGTCGGCTTAAGCTCTGCAGATTGCTTTTAGACAGCTGGAGGTAGAGGCAATGAATCCATCAAGCATATATCTAAATCTTTCTGCTGGTTCAGAGCACCAGATTACATTTCCTTCATGGAGAAGTGGGGTGAGCTTGGGCCTGCTGGCAAGACTGTCTGAACGCATCCCTAATTCGTCTTGACCTTCTCCTGGTTAAGCGTAATGGACTGTGTTTCTCACAAGATATGTATCATAGCATGCAGCACATTCTTGCAAACCATTCCTGAATGCTCTCTGCTTTTGAAACCTGTAGTTCTGTTTTCTTCAACGCTAGACACAGAAATGGTTTTACTAATGCTTATGCAGGGACAGTACTACTTCTAGCTGATAATCCTCTGCTTATATATGCACAAATTCCCTTAGCTCTTCTAGACACAATTCTGCATTAGAAGAGTGCTTGGTCCCACCTTTTTATTTTTTTTTTCAATCTCATACTTTTTAACATAGCTGCTACTTTCTGAAACAGTCTCTCATCTTGTAATGAAATACATCTTGTATGCACACAATAACTATTTTTAATTCTGTAATTATATTTAAAATCCTGTATTATTTCAAGCACAGGCAAAAACAACGTTCTTCTTGTGTGGAATTTTTTATTCTAGAAACCTTGTTTGCTTATAAGATCTTAGATTTCATATAGAACTCTAAAATCTCTAAAATCAGTAGCTGAATAAACAGTTTCTTATCCAGCAAATGTGGCATATATTTTTGTGCCTTCTGCAAGAGTTCCCAAAGGTCAGGTTTGTCACATTGGCTGTGACAAATTTGTACAAAAGGTACAATACATAGGACTAAGAGGTCTGCAGTATTATTCACCAAGGAACTGCAGACAGGTTTTTATGTCATTGCTTCCACTCATGTGCGTTCATTGACCTTTCATCTATGATTTGTCACTGTAGAAGGAGAAGAGGAAAATGCAACCTGGTGAGCTTTTCACTTTGTCAAGGGATATAAAATCATTAAATCCCCAATAAACTGCCAGTCAGATCAAATGGCACAAATAGAAAAACTATGGCTAGAACAGCAGATCCATCAGCTTCCGTAAGTAAATGACACTGTCCCTCAATGCCTATTATCATCAATTTTTACATCTGAATCTTTGGCATAGGTGAACATAATGCAACAGCTTGTAAAAATCACAACACCCCTTTGGTTACTGTAGTACGAGACAGAAAAGACTTCTTGGATCTCCTAGTTCGATTTGCTGCCACTGCAGGGAAGCACAGGGAAGCACCAAGGGTAAATGTGAGCAATAAAAGTCACTAAGTTGCCTGAAGGAATGTCAGCCTGTGTCGTGAAACAGTAAACTCCATGTAGTGAAACAGCAAATGTCAGAAGACCTGTCAGTTAAAATGTGATGCACAAGTACCTTCAGACCTGCATGTGGTAAATAAATGTTGTCCTTCCTGCACTACTTTTAGGGCCTAATTCAGCAGTGCCTATGTGGAAATGCCTTACTGCATCAGGACCAAAGGCACTGAAATCACAAACAGTAAGACTGTTTATAACAAAATGCAACGATAGTTTTAAGAGACACAGATTACTCTGTGATGAAGTGGCTATATGTTTTATTGATCAGTAGGGGGCATGAAAAGTAACCCTTAAGGAGTTTTTTCTCCCTGCTTCTACTTCACATTTGTTAATGGTTATATTTTACTTGTATTTGTCTTTCATCTTATTTTTAAATGCTGGCAAAGACTGGAGTGTTAATATCAGTGTGCATTAATAATTTATTGAATAATAATATATGAAAATGAATTTGATATGCTTCTCTATATGAATGACATTCTATTATTGAAATTTATTAATCAGCACATTCCACTCCATCAAACCTAAATTTTTTGAGGAAGAGGAGGGGAGGAGGTGGAGAGGCAGTCTGGAAAAATGCAGTACAGTGGGCTGACTAAATCTGAATAGTATTTGGTCTCTGAAAATGCACAAATATCAGTGTAACTCAAATCATACTGATGAGATACAGAACAGTTTTATGTAGTCATAATAACAAGTTATATACCGTCAATATTAACAGCAATGTCTGTTTGAGAAAACAGCTTTAAAATAGGTACATACAATTTTATTAAGTATAAAAAGACACTGGGCAGAGCACAATACAATATATTTCATCTTTAATTCTGGCAGTGCTCAAGCTCCACTGTCTTAATTCGTATTGTCACCAACAGCCACTGGATAGAATTACTTTTCTGTATAAAATGAGCTTTTTCTGCACGTATTCATGATGTCTGGCTTTAAAAATACAGTAATTTCTTTTCAATTGCTACTTACACTAATAAAACACTGTCAAGACTGGTGGCCAGCCTCCATCTGTTTTTTAACATACATATGATACTGCCCATTACCCCTGCTTTGCTTTGCCTCCCTCTGAGAGTAGATCCTTCAAAATAAAATCTGTTGCTGACTTTTTTCCAAGTTCAGAACAAAAACACTTGTTCAGACTATTTCTACTTTCCTTGCATTGCTAAAATTTCACTAACATCAGCTAGAGTTTTCAATATGCAAGGGCTGTAGGGCTCTGCCCTAAGCTCTTTTTCTTCCCCAGGCATTTCCTAATGTAGCACAGAAGGCATGCTTTAAATGATCATTTATTAGAATATGGGGATTCCACTTTCTTAATTTCTTGAAAGTAGATGACATTTAAAGCCTTCCAGCTTTGACTATTTTCTTTGGAAAAGCAGACATGTAAACTTAAGAACTTAATTATGTGTTTTGTTTGTGCATTCCAATTTGGTTTGATTTAAAAAAAAAAAAAAAGTCAGAACCATTAACTTCAAATTGATTTAAACAATAACGTGAAGGTTTTAAAAGAAACAACTTACACTTCCTCCTCTCTAAAATATATTAACATTAGACTGGAAAATAAATTAAATAATACAAAAAAAGCTTAGATTATGCTATCACAGGAATATCTGCCAAACAAAGCTTGGTCTTTTGCTAACATTAGCTTACTACATTTGCAATACATGCTAAGCAAAGACCCTACTTCTCTAACAGGTACATTCAGACAATATATATTTTATGGAATAAATATATAATATATCCAGTTATAGATTTCTGAATCGTAGCTATAATAGATACAAGCAATGCCTACATTTAAAAATACAGTTCTAGGATTCCCTAACTTTACTACTAATAAAATTAAAATTGACCTAAAACTTTCTCACTCTGTTGATGCATAATAAAATATATGGAAACACCAAGAGTAAAAAGCTAATTGCTTCTACAAATGGAATACTTTATAAATATAGTAAATTGCTATTTTCAGAGGGAAAATTGAAAATTATAAACAGGAAGTTAGGTTAAAACTGCTCTACAATATAAATTACAAAGTGGCTATGAAGCGCAACGTGTGAGTTTGATGTCTGTGGCAAAATTCTGAAATGATGTAGTTTATTTCTGGAGATAACTGTAGAGAAAGATTTTGTCCCCCAAACCAGCCAATCTTGATCTCCTTAAACCAAAACTTTCACTGACTAGAGAAAGCCAACTGGCCAATTTGTAAGAGTAAGGAGTGCAAGATTAGAACAAACAGAATTATTTGGAAGCCCTGGACTTCTCTGTCTCATGTTGTTTACTTACCATGCTGTTCTCATTAGGCATAGAGTCACAGAAGTAGTATGTACCTGTGACTGCCATGTTCTGAAAAGCCTTATAATGAAAGTACCCCCTATATGGCTGTCTTAACTACATTATGCTTGAACTGTACATTCTCCAGATGAATTCTGTTTTGTGTTCCTGTAGTTGTTCCCTTTTGCTGGAATACTGAAGTACAGCTCTGGTTGCTTGATTACTGCACTCTTGATCGAGGCTTTTTTTTTCTTGAGAATAACCTAGAATTAAAGAAACACATTGCTCAGAGCAAGCACAAGGAATTGAGGAATTAAATTGCTGGCTGTTTCTGCCTGCCTTCCTTCCCTTTCAGTTAAAAAAAAAAAAAAGTAAAATCAGGAAAAATATCTTGCTAAAAAAAATTTAAGTAATTGGAAAGACTTTATGTGAGACTGTGCTGTTTTGGCTCCTGCAACGGGCCTATTTTATACAGAAACCCAAAATTTACATCACTAAACGCTACTATTTATAGCTCCTTCCTGAGTTAGGGCCCTGAAGTAGTATTGAGATCCCACTCAGAATCTTCATAGACACTTCAGCGTCTGTTTGCATCAACAAAACAAATTCTAACAGTCACAGAACAGCCTGTCTACGTGGTTGTTTGTTTTCCACCCTAAATATCAGCAGAGGTCAGTGTCACCATGAGTAACAACACCACCATCACTTGGAGCTTCAGTTTCTCATCATTTAATCATACAATGGTTTGGGTTGGAAGGTACCTTAAATATCATTCAATTCTAACCCCCTTGCCATGGACACTTTCCACTAGACCAGGTTACTCAAACCTGTATCCAATCTGGCCTTGAACACTTCTTAGGATGGGGCATCCACAACTTCTCTGGGCAACCTGCTCCCATGCCTTATCACCTTCAGAGTAAAGAATTTCTTCCTAAAATCTAATTAAATCTACCTTTCTTTAGCTTAAAGCCATTACTCCCTGTCCTATCACTACACTCCTTGACAGAGTCCCTCCCCAGCTTTCCCATAGGCCTCCTTTAGGTACGGGAAGGCCGCTATAAGGTCTCGCTGGAGCCTTCTTTTCTTCAGGACAAACAACCCCAGATCCCTCAGCCTGTCTTCACATGAGAGGTGCTCCAGCCCTTTGATCATCCTTGTGGCCCTCCTCTAGATTCTTTCTAATACGTCCATGTCCTTCTTGTGCTGGGAGCCTCAGAGCTGAATGTAGCACTCCAGGTGACATTTTACGAGAGCAGAGCAGACGGGGAGAATCACTTCCCTTGACCTGCTGGCCACAATTCTTTTGGTGCAGCCCAGGATACAATTGGCTTTCTGGGCTGCAAGCATGCATTAACAAGAACACATGTTGAGCTTTTCATTAACAAGCAATGTAGGGATTTTATGAGTTACCTGTAGACTACTGCTGACACAACTGATACAAATGTCCTGTTTAGGGAACAGCTGGTATAAGATGTGGAAGATTAGGATTTAAGTCCTTGCTTTACCACGTGCTTCCTATTTGATTTCATTTGGGAAAATTGAGCGGATCTGTAAATGTGTTCATGACACAAGCTCTCACTGATTTCAGAAACCATGCATCTATGGAGAATCTGGGTTTTGATGTGTCTGAACCTCACAAGCTACCTGTTTTGACTACACTGGAAAACGTGCAAGCCTTTTGGAAGCTACTGTAATACTGAATGTCAGTCATGAATAAATACTTCTCACCAAACTGTACATAAGTAAGCACTTGTAGGTTCCCTGCAGAGGAACCATGGACTCAAGTTTGGGGTTCCTGCAGCAGGATAAGGATTAGAAAGACTTTTCTTCACATATCAGCAGAAAATACTGGTGCTCTGTTGCCCAGTAGTAAAGGAACGATTGAAAATATGTTAAACTATGTCTAAATCTGGTAGCATTTTCTTACTTGTCACAAATGTTCCCCAGAAACACAGATTTTGTATGCACTCTTCCTTGCACAGAAGCCCATGCTGCGTAGTGGGTATCGATCCATGGGTTATTAATAGGAAATTGGCTCCAGAATTTGTTGTTTTCAAAATACATTTCTAATGGGACAGACCACGTGGAAATGTACCAAAGAGCAACCTCTTCTCATTGTCACTGTGCTAAGTGCTTGCGGGGCCTCAAAGGCACAACCAGCCCTGCCCCGGCCCACCCCCATGGCTCCCCCACCCACCCCATGCCCAGAACTCCTCATCACCCCCAGGGCTGCCAGCCCCTGCCCTGCCAGGCCACGGGCTCTGCTCATCTGGGCCCACCCATGGGCCACGGCCCTGCCTGGCCTTGTCCTGTTCCTGTCCCCAGAGAGGTGCCCTGTGCCCAGGCTGGGGCTGCCCCGGTGCCCCTGGCTGGTCGTGGGACAGGCCCTGCTGTGAGGCCCTGCCCTGCCAGAGGGCCTTAAGGAAGACAATGAATACTCTCACCTACGACATGTGATTTTGCTGTGTAGTTTGCTGCTGTTGCTGCTGCTGAATGAGCAATTGCTGCTGTTGCCGGCGCCGCGCTGTTCTCAGTTTTTCGAAACGAGCCTCCATCTCCTCCAGCACCTTGGGAGTGTAGCGCACCACCAGCTTGACGCTGTCCTTAGCCGCCTTCAGCAGCTCCACTGCCTTCTCGTGGTGCTCCCCTTCCACGCTCTGGAGGCAAGGAGCACAGATTTAACAGCGAAAATGCTGCTTTGATCTAGAGCTCTGCTCTTTATTTTATACATGGTGCCATGGAAAGACTGCCAGTGTTTTAGGAAATTTACAGACCATACAGTTTTCAAGGAGCCATTAAGGCAAAGTGTGGAATTAAGTAAGATTTCTGCGCTATTGTGAAATGTATTCATTTTCAAACATTAAATAACCCAAATCTGTTTTAGGTTGCTTTACAAACCTAACCTATGATCTATGTGAAAAGGAGGGTAAATACTCTGCATGTTTTATGCAAACAATGTCAAAAAAACAAAGCAAAACAAAACAACAACCCCTGCAGTAAAAACCCAACCAATCTATTTGCAAGGTAGAAAAATAAAATGTAATAGAGCGAACACGGAATCTTATTTACATGTTGGTAAGAAATGAAGAAATTGCAAGTCTGAAATTAGGATGTCTTTCTCACATCCTGGTCCTGCCTGGATCCTGCTGTGAATTGCACGTGGTGATTTGGCAGTCACATAGCTGCAGGAAAAGGAGCACGGCCACCGCTCCTAGGGACATCCCGTGTGCTAGGAAGTTAATGGGACTGCTCACACATTCAACATAGATATAACACTGGTTCTGTTGGAAATAAACCAGTCTTTATCTAGTTAGTTGTATGCAATCAAACACTAACAACTGAAACATTTCAAGTCCTTGCTTAAGGAACATATATATTTTCCCTCCCTTGCTGGAACATGTTTTGTAGCAACATGGTATCTGCTGTGAAGTCAAACCTACACCCAAAGGGGCACAAGCTCTGATTTCTGTGCCAGCATTGTTTGAAACAGTAAATTTCCAAAAGGGGGAGGTGATTTGGCTGTGAAAAGAATATATAATTTCTACCATTAAATGGATTGACTGGAGTGCTTTTCAGGCATGCTGATTGTTCCACACCTTAGGAGCAAGGGTGACATTTTCTAGTGGTCTGTGATTGCCCACGTGTCGTAGGATGTATTCCAACAAACAAAAGTATCTCTGCACAGAAAAAAGCCTGCACAACAGAGATCTTCAAATGGATTTTAGACCATTTAAAAAATAAGCCAATTTCTTCCCACATAAAATAAGAAATCAAAGTTTTACTGCATGCTGTTTTAAAACTTCTATGTATACCATGCTATTTAAAATGAAACTATACCCATAAGCCTCCAAAGAGAAGCAGCAGCGTTCAAAATATTTGATGCTCAATTCATGCTAAAAGAATAACTTAGCATTGTTATAGCAACTGTCAGATGTTAGAAGAAAATTCTATTTTCATCTCACCTATTTGACTGAGTAACATTGTGCAAGAACAGAATGAATAAAAATTACTTCTGCTGTGGCACATTATGAGCTAGCAATAATGATTTAAAAGTTTCAAAAAACAGACACAATGCACTTCTACATAAATAATATAAACAACACCATTCAAGCTTATCACTTTGCTGTTTATCTTCCTGGCCCTTGTTAAATGTCCTTCAACATACTCATCCAAATAATTATTTCATATGTCGGTCAACTCACTGGAACCACGTTTCTACAGAAATGTAAGATGCTTTAAGAACAACTCAACTTAGAAAAATAGACTTAGGCAATGTGCTCTAGGGGACCCTTCTTGAAAAGCGAGGTTGTACTAGATGATCTCCAAAGGTCCCTCTGAATTTCAGATAATCTGTGATTCTGTGATAATGAATGTTATTTTAAGTGCCGAAATGACTACCAGAAACAGAGGAAACCCTGAAATAAATATCCATTGATCACTGAGAGAAATAAATGGCTTTATGATTTTCAACTGTATGCTCATGAAATTCCTCCAGTAGGTCTCCTATTAAAAGATCTTAAAGAGAATTCATTATTTGTGATAACCCGATGTGTTACAAAATGTGATTGGGATAAATCTGCTCAACAAACTCTGCCACCCATAACTAATTTGGTGAAAAAATAATTTTGTCAAAAATATTTGAAGAAGAAATTGTTGCTGCATAAGAAACAGTGAGTGTATCTGATGCTCCAAAAAGAGCAGAAATAGGAAGTTATAGATGCACAACTCGTTACTTTGTGACATGGTAATACTGGCTTTTGTAAACCCACTTCTCACCATTAAAAGAACTGTATAAAACTGCATTATTCTGCATTTCATTTTTCTCTTGTAAATCACAGCCAGTATGATGTGGCATGGACATTCGAAGAAAATGACACTATTCAGTGTTGCTGTGATCAGTTTTGTTGTGGAACAATATGGACTTACAACAGGCTATGACAAAAAAAATAAGTTCCCCAAGCTAGGCAGAGAAGCTAAAATATTCATTGGCTTTCCAAGATTTGGATGGTTTTAACTGACATCAATAAGCAACTGTGATTGTGTCTGTTCTTTAAAGGAATTACAAGATGGTGTACTTTAACACTTCATCCAAATTAGTAATCTGTATTTAATTTAATTCCTGATTGCCTGTTTTATTTTCCACTCGCCTCCGGCCTTGTTCTTCCAGTTTACAGGCAGTACTTTTTAATTAGAATGAAGGATTTGATTTTGTTGCTATTCAGGTCAATGGAAAACTCCCATTGATTTGAACAGTAATGATAAAGAATTGAGCCTAAAGCTCTGAACCATAACGAAAATGGGGAAACTAACAAAGCCAAAGTAAAAGACTGTGTTGCTAAATATGAATCCTACTTACCAAACTTACCCAGCTCAGATCTTAACAGCTATTTTTCAGCTGCTTTTAAATATCGTTGCTGTACTTGCTATTAGCATCTTCACCATTGCTTCTACTCATATTTTCAAGGCCTCTGAAATGCTTTGTGTAGCTGTAGCTGCACAACTAAAAGAGCGCCTTGGAGTAGGGAAAAGAGCTTATACCAGCAAAGAAAGTTGTTTTGCTGCTTGACTTTTCCCACCTCTGCAAATTCTGCTGACAAAGGACTCCTGCTGGGTTCAGTCACAGCTGCACAAGGGATTTTGCTGCCTGGATTACAGTGGCTGGGGACATGGCAAGGATATGACTCTCATGGTACTCTAGACCTGCCCACCAAACATGGGATTTAATACATTTGTTTCAGAATATATATTTTAATACATAATTTTTGGTTATATATATATTTATTTATATTCATGTTATTCATGTATTTATTTTCCCTTACTGCATTGGCAGATTGTATCAAAAGGAATGACAAAAGGTTTCAGAGACAGGAAGAGCTAAAAGAACTGCAGACATGGTGCAGGAAAACACCAATCTTTAAAGTATCCAGGCATGCATATCTGTCATACACATAAACAAAACAAAAACCCATTCCTTTGCAGACAAAAAAGAGAAATCTGGTTGTTATCCAAAAGTTGAGAAACAGAGAAGAATTTTCTATTAGGTAACTGCAAGAAAATGCTTGGGTGAGAAATTTGCCATTACAAATCTATTTTGCATCCCTGTCTATATCTGACTCACACCAGGTACTTGATAAACATAGAATCTTTGCCAGGTATGAACAGTCACCAGCAAGAGCCTTTGCTGAGCCATCTGCAGGGCTTACTGCTTTCAATTTCCTTTACTTTTAGGGGGTGTGGGACAAAAGTATGCAACAAAATCCCCAGTGTAATGAGAAGTCATTTTTTTTAATATCCGGTGAAACAGCTCAAGGAACAGTCGTCCCAGTCATGCTGGGATATCAAATCTGGATTCTGAACACACAGCTCTAATTTTACGTTGATAATTATAAAGTTGGATAACCACCAACTTCTGAGTGTAAACAAGTTACAGATATTTCATTTTCATTCCATGTTCCACTGCTGAGCCGTCTGTTGTATTGTACATACTGTGTATTATTTGCTTTTCTCCAGTTAAATTGAGAGAAGCACAGAGTGAACTAGTCCCACTGAACAATGTTAAATTTAGACCTTTTTCCTCCTGTCTCAAGCTGTCTGCAAACAAATTGTTACTTCTATAATTTTTGTCTTTTATCTTGTATGGGCTTAAATAAGCCCAATATTGGTTTATGAACAGTTGCTCATAGGCATTATTTCAAGTATGCAATTGTAATTCAAACTTCAAATTCTGTTATTTAGACTTCAAACACAAAAATAGCTCTGTTGTAACTCAGAATTGACTTTCTTGCATGCCTACATGCAACAGGAAATTTTATGGTGTTTTCTGCTATATTAGCTTAATCCATATTGTAGAGCACATTTGTGAATTTTTTTGAAGCTTATCACGGAATAGAGGTGACAATAGAGCCAAAGTCAATATATCTAGATGTTCGAAGGTTCACCACTTTCCTGCCCGGTATCTGCCTACATGTTGTTGAAAGTAAAAGGGCTTTTTGAGAATCATACATCAGTTAGAGTATATAAACTCTTTTCACCTGCATCTTTAGTCACCTACAGAAAGCTGAACAATCACGAAATTATTTGATCTACTTCCAGAAAGTGAAGTTCAGGCAATTTACTTATTAAATGTTCACTTGATTTCATTTTCCCTGAGACTAAATAATCTTTGTAGTGACTTGTCTTTGTTTTCTGTCTTCTTCTCATTGTGTACTGGGGCTAGCAAGCTTGCAGAATTATTGTTTCTTTTTTGAGAATAAGATTGTTGATAATGAAATGGTAGAAAGTCTGTCTGAAGTGTTGCTCTGATACTGTTTCAAGATAAGGGGAAAACCTATTGTTTGAAAGAAACAGATGACAACATGAAAGCGTATAAAATACGGCATTTTCTTCATTCTTTACAAGCTTGCAAGAAGCAGAAAATTTAAGTTGGAAAGTCTTATATTTATGACTGGATTTGGAAATTGCTCATAACTCCCCTTGGTGTATTTAAATACGAGGTTTAGATGTAGGTTTTGCATGAAAAACTATTATGTTTTCATTAAGAGAATTGTGGGGTTATATGAATGAATATGCTTACATTTTTAGTATTTACGTTCCCTTGTAAAAGGGAATAAAAGGCAAAGTGAAAGGTAAAATGTGACCCACATTATATAGGTGGAACCTGCTTTTCCTCTGTTCCAGCAGCCTTTTTATTTTTACCTCCATACTGACATTCATTTCATTGTAGTGAAACTACAGCAAAACACTCCATCTTGCAGTACTGACTTAAGTGCAGAATGACTATGTAAAAATTTACCTTTTTACTGACCATACAGGCTCCCTGTATTTGTTCATCTGTACAGCTGATTCTCTTATAAAGGTTTCATAGATGGATGAATGTCATTGAAAGAAATCCAGAATGTACTTTCCACAGGAAATCAGCAGCAAATGTGCATATCAAATTTCTTTTATTTTATGTTTTCGAATTCTCTGAAGGTCACAAGACTACTGCCACTGAGGCATCATTGTACTTAGAAAGATCTGTGTGCCTCAGAGGATATGGAGTGCAAAAATGACAAAGCCCGTTTTAATGCTCTTACCACAGAAGAAATTTGCAGAATTAACAATTAGAAAGACATAGCTTCCCTGTAAATTCAGCATGTGGTGTGAATTTAAAATAAAGTTCTTCAAGCAACCTCCACTCCAACAGAAATTGTAGTGGCACAAAGTTGTCCATGTAGCTTTGCCTCACTGCACCACAAATGCACACTGAAGGTCTCTCACAGAGCTATTTCTTTTTATTTCATGTATTGCATTTTCTATCATGGTATCAGAACAATTGTGAAAAATTAAAATCCAGATGAAAATGAAATGTCTATCAAACTTCAACATACCACTCCATTAACTGAAAGCAGCTGGTCCCCTCGTTTGAGCCCTCCATGCCTTTCTGCCACTCCTCCAGGAATGATGCGAGAAATATAAATAGGTGAATTTTGTTCCTTTCCTCCCATCACATTAAAGCCCAGGCCTTCATCAGTCTTTGGCAGCTCCACCACTCGCGGGTGTGAATGGCCTTCACTTGCAGCAAAAGCAGCAACTGTTGCCTGGAAGAAAAAAAGAGCCATTTGGCTATGCAGAGAGAACACTTATACACTCTGTTGATCATTTTGCAGGAAGAATTAAGTCCAGTGAAAACATTCAAGTATCTTATTCTGCCTTTTTTCTGATTGTCTGAAAGCACTTTGCAAAAATTAAGTTCCATGCCAATGCTTTTGAAATAAAGGAATAAGCAGAGGAACAGAGAATTTAAGTGACTTATCAAAGATAACGCAGAAAGTTAGCAGCAGAGCCAGAAGGAGACACCAGGAAGCCTGACTGCGCGGTGGTGAACATTTATGATCACTAGTGAGCTGCTTCTTTGCCTTTTCACATGGAAAAAGTGTTACTGTTGGATAAGATGATGTGATCTGTACTGTGTTCCTAGTTGAAATATCAAGTGGATGAACTGAATTCTTTACTCTCTGCTCTGCTTTTGGAGGTGCGTAATTGGTTACTTTATTCTGTGAGAACAGAAAAATTCCTAAAAGAGTATTATTTTTTTAAAGTTTAATTTTAATCTTCATGAAATCTCAGTAACTAAATAACTCCTGGAACAGGAATATGATTTTTTATAATATAATCAGATCAAAACTTTTATTGAAAAATTACACCTTAAGACAATAGATTTGTAAATCAATTTTAAAAACAGATTGTTATTATGGAAAAAAAAAACATACAACTGTAAAGCTTGCACTCAGAAAATTATGACACATTGTATTTCATTTTTCACTGTGTTTTCCTACTTTAATTATAGATCTCAGTAAATCATTAAATAAACATTAGGAAATTCTTTTATCCTTTTCAACGTGTGTTTGTAGCCCAACCTGCTAGTACAATTCTGCATTACGCTAATACTTTCTGAGCATCCTAATAATGCTTATGCTTAATAGAAGCTAGTGGATGATGTGACATAATGGATCATTCTCAGTTACATGTTTTTGCACATGCAGACCTTGTCATCATGCACACATTTTATGTCAGACATGAATGCACTAGGAGAATGCAATGCAGACAGCCCAGAAATAACCAGGAAATTGCGATATTGAAACATTGCTCTGTAACCCTGCTGTTCTATATGAATAAGAAATGAGAATGGCAAACACTAATTGGATATTTCCCCATTTACTATACAACATAGTAATAATTTCTATGTTTACCTGCAGTGTAGACAAATCAGGATCTCCTATACACATTTCTCTGTATAGTAGCATAGACCTAAAAATTTACATTGTCCATTAAGCTTCTCTCAGAACAAGGTTAAAATCAGAACAGCCTTCAGAAAGGAATGTTCTACTTAGAAAGGAAAACATACTGCAATTTTGTGTGTAATAGGTTATTTGCTGGCTCCTATTGGGCTTGCTTCTATAAAACACTGTAGAAATCTTTTTATAACATACTCCCGATCTTCATCTTCCGATACAGCTTTAAATGAAAATCCCTAATGCAAATACATAATGGTAAGATCTTAGTTCCATTAAGATTTCTGGCAGTTTTGTCACTAAATTCACAGGATTGGGACCAACATGAAATATTTCTAATACGGATTTATGGCTTTTGCAGGTTTAACTGTTTTGCATAGTACCTGCTTTACCATCCAGAAGATAGTCTTGAGCACAAAATGATAATGGGAAAAAGAAAGCCATGGTGGGTGGACGTCCCTGTTTGAAAGCATCTCTCTTTGTGCATGTTATGAAAATATAGAGCACGCTACATGCCAGCACACAGAACGTATTCCTCCATAGTTGTGTGAATTTCCTTAGAAGATTATCATTTTAACAGTTGCAATAAGGTAACTGTCATGGTCTAAGGATATGAGAAAGGCAGGTTCATATGGATAGAGAGACAAAATACTTTATTAAAACAGGCAATGCATTAGAAGAAGTGGGCTTGCTTTTGGCTGTGGAGTCTCTTGATCTGGTCATTTCTGTCAACATTCATCCTCACTACTTGCTCAGCACCTATAGTTCCTGTTAGTTGAAGTGGAATTTTGACTGCATACTTGCTACCTCCTAAATCATTGTGTTCTCACTGGATGAGCTGTACGGGAAAATAGTCCATTAAAATATAGGTTGTTGCAGGCAGACTTCCATAGAACGAACCAGTAGATTTGCTTTTGCAAAGCGGCTTTTCAAAAAACATCAAATTCCATAAAATCATTCTCTTTTCTTAAGCTACAGAAGCAGCATAAAGGTTTAAATTTTCCATTATGATTGTTACCTGGGAAGTAGCACTGGTTCTAGACTCTGGGCTGCCACTGATGTCTAAATTTTCTTACAGTGTACACACGAATACCTGAAACACACACGCGCACAGTCAATTACTAGGTCACTTTGGTACCACGTACTTCAACAGTTGCACGTATCCTACCTTTGCAGTGGCCCTGGCTCGGAACTCGGGGCAGCCATTAACAGTTATGGTTTCATGCATGTATTGATACACCTAAAATGTTCATGAAAACAAAATGAAATTAATTATAGAAACAAAACAAGGACTTTATATTAACTGAGACAGGACAGTCCCTTTCCCTCATCAGACAATGTTAATGCTGAATTCATGCAATCCACACAGTTGAATGTCTGCTAAACATGTTCATGCTTAAGTTTACAGAAAACATCAATCTATATTTCTCAAGACACTTTTCAGTCTTAACTGTTCATCTGCCAATGCTTTTCCCTTCACTTCTCTAGCACACCATTTCACAAAACTGAGACAACTGAGTTCGGTGTTATCCAGAAACCAGGGTCTCCCTGCAACTGATCCAAATTCAAATGATCTGAATTGGTCAGAGAGGTATCTTACCCTCCACCCCTGGCTTCTTTGTTCTGTCACCTTTCCGGTGAAATAAAGAGGTACCAGTTTTCATCAACCACAGCTGTGAGTAGGCAAAAGTGCTGGCAGTCTGTTAGGTCAGACATGGAAAATGGGTAACGTAATCCTTTACAACATAATTGTACATTCATATAAAGGGCATAAAGCCAACACTGCCAACATACATAACTTTCCCTGTGTTGTCTTTTCTGATATACACTTTTTGGCTCCTGTCTCCGGTCCTTAACTCTCCCTTTTAAACATTTTCAGTAAGGAAAAAGGAAAAGTCTCTCTGCAGGCAGGAAAACTGGTATTGTTCTATAGATTTGTCTTACCCTTAAATGAAAAATATAAAAAAGTGCCTTGATACTAGCTTGATACTAGTTGTTTTGAAATCAGCCTTAAAAATAATAATATTTATATAAGACATATGGACAATTTTTTGAAAGACAAAGGTGAATGCATTCAAACAAAATCTCTTATTTAATCCTCCCATAAAACCAGCAAACTGTATGTCATTGATTTACTCTGGGCATTGTCTTGACCTACTTCATCAGGAATTTCATCTTTTCATGTGCTGTATGTCATAGGTTTTATTCCTCATAGAGAACCTTTGCAGGTAAAGTATGTTAGCATTTACAGCAATCTCTTGTTTGGGGTCCTTGAGGACTGCAGATTCAATTGTACTTTACACACTATATTTACCTTTCACTGGTCTGGTGATACTTTAGCAGGAGTTCCAAAACATCCCTATTTGGTAATGTCAGTGCTACTTTGGCAGACAGGGTGTCAGATCCTGTATTGAATTGACCTATAAGCAACAGCTTGTCCCATTGATAGGCAAAACTTCCCCATCACACTAGTCTGATGATGTGTCATACACTATCATATTTATTAATCTCTCCCCATTTCTATATTTGAAATGAAATTTTTCTTGCATTGGTAGAATTGACCTTGCTTTCAGTTGAGGCCAGGATTTTGCCCTTAATTAAAAATATGGAAAAAGATATTTTACAGCTTCTAAAGGGTCTCTGGTTTGCTTTAGCTTTTTACTGGGTTATGCCATCATAAAATGGGTTGAGTCTACATTCTCAGTATAACCTTGCAAAGATTAGTTCAACATTTATTGTAAGTATTATGGTTTAGGAACAAATAATTCATTATATAAAACAACTACTGTGCAACTGCAGTTATGAATCATTAAATACTTCTTGCTTCAAAACCCATACTGCATTGAACCACTGGTAATGCTCTATTTTATCAATACTTGCAGGTTCCCCTTTATCTTAAATCATGAGAGTAGGCTGTCCATATCATTTTTTCTTGCACAGCCATAAATGTTGTGGCTGGCTAGAACGTCTAAAAGCATGTATTTAATTATCAAATAATTATGACCTTAAATTGTTTTGAAAACAGGTCACAACATTTCATATATAAGAACAGTTACTGACATGATATTCATTACTAGGTAGAAGCTTACACAAAGGCGAGCTGATGACACTTTATGTGATTATTAGCTAGGTTTGATGTCATGTAACTACATATTGCCTACATCCTACTAATAGGTAACTAACAGGTAACTAACAGGCTTCGTAACACCCAATATCCTGGTAGATAACTTGTGTTCTGGTGAAAGAACAAACTCATTATTGCTCTTAAAAAAATAAACCTTCCGTGTTAAATCTCACTCTCTGTAAGACTACAGGTGCTACTAGTCTCGAATATCTGCTTGAGAATATAGCTCACCTAACTCTCCTACATAATGATTGTTGCATAATGCTTAACATAATTTGAGATAAATAAGCATAAAACATACACCTAAATGACTTTTTTTTTTTATTAACTGTGTTTAACAACCAAGCACAGACTGGTTATTCCGCCAAGTCCCTTAAATTTCTGCTAAGGTTCATACTGCTCATTCTAGCAATGCACAAAAAGCATACTGAAGCCTACACATAATATTTAGAATAGAACAGATCAGTTGAAAGGGACCTTCAAAGATCATCAAGTCCAACTACCTGACCTGCTCAGCGCTAACCAAAAGTTAAAGCATGTTATTGAGGACATTATCCAAAGACCCACTGAACACTGGCAGGCATGAAGTAACAACCACCTCTAGGAAACCTCTTCCACTGTTTGACTGCTCACGGTAAAGAAATCTTTCCTTATGTCCAGTCTGAACCTCCCCTGGTGCAGCTTTATGCCATTTCCACCTGTCCTGTCATTGGTTATCAGGGAGAAGGGACCAGCACCTTTGTCACTGCTTCCTCTCCTCGAGAAGCTGCAGAGAGCAATGAGGTTGACTCTCAGCTGTTCCTCGTAAGACACGCCTGCCAGCCCTTTTACCAGCTTTGTTGTCCTCAGGATGTTTTCAAGGACCTTAACATCCTTTTCATATTGTGGAGACCAGAACTGCAAGCAATATTCAAGGTGAGGATGCACCAACACTAAATGTAGTGGGAGAATTACCTCTTTTGACCAGCTGACTATGCTGTTCAGCACACCCAAAATGTAGTTTACCCTCTTGGCTGCCAGGGCACACTGCTGGCTTCTGCTGAGCCTGCTGCTGACCGGCACCCCACGTCCCTCTATGCTGAGCTGCTCTCCAGCCACTCGTCTCCCTCTCTGTGCTTGTGTATGGCATTACTCTGTCCCAGGTGCAGAACCCAGCATTTTCCTTCGCTTAACTTCATGCTGTTGATGATTGCCCAATGCTCCAATGCATCTAGATCCCTCTGCAAGACCTCTCATCCCTGCAGGGAGTCAGCAGCACCTCCCAGTTCATCATCAGCAAACTTCCTGAGGATGCATTCCACTCCAGATCACTGATAAAAATGTTCAACAGGACTGGCTCTAGACTTGAGTCCTGGGGAACACTACTGGTGACTGTCTGCCAGCCAGATGAAACACCATTCACTATTTTGAGCTCTACCATCAAACCAGTTCATCACCTAGTGTAGCATGAACCTGTTTGCCACATGGCTGGACAATTTGTTCATAAATATGCTATGACAGATAGTATCAAAGGCTCTACTGAAATTCAGAAAGATTACATCCACTGCCTTCCCTTCATCCACCAAGCCAGCGACCTCATCATAGAAGGAAGTCATCCCATTTGTTCCTCATACTGTGTGCACTGGTATATCACAGAATCACAGAATCACAGAATTTCTAGGTTGGAAGAGACCTCAAGATCATCGAGTCCAACCTCTAACCTAACACTAACAGTCCCCACTAAACCATATCCCTAAGCTCTACATCTAAACGTCTTTTGAAGACTTCCAGGGATGGTGACTCCACCACCTCCCTGGGCAGCTTGTTCCAATGCCTCACAACCCTTTCAGTAAAGAAGCTCTTCCTAACATCTAACCTAAAACTCCCCTGGCGCAACTTTAGCCCGTTCCCCCTTGTCCTGTCACCAGGCACGTGGGAGAACAGGCCAACCCCCACCTCTCTACAGCCTCCTTTAAGGTATCTGTAGAGAGCGATAAGGTCGCCCCTGAGCCTCCTCTTCTCCAGGCTGAACAACCCCAGCTCCCTCAGCCGCTCCTCGTAGGACTTGTTCTCCAGGCCCCTCACCAGCTTCGTCGCCCTTCTTTGGACCCGCTCAAGCACCTCGATGTCCTTCTTGTAGCGAGGGGCCCAAAACTGAACACAGTACTCGAGGTGCGGCCTCACCAGAGCCGAGTACAGGGGGACGATCACCTCCCTAGCCCTGCTGGTCACACTGTTTCTGATACAAGCCAGGATGCCGTTGGCCTTCTTGGCCACCTGAGCACACTGCTGGCTCATATTCAGCCGACTGTCCACCATCACTCCCAGGTCCTTCTCTGCCTGGCATACAGGCAGAGAAGGACCTGGTATACAAACATCTTAGAGGTGCTCCTGAATCCATTGCACTCCCTGGAGTGGCATATGCTCCCATTAACCTTGTCTCCCTCAGACAGCACCATCCTTTGGCATAACTTCAGTGTTCCTAATGGCATCGCCCACCCCAGTCAATCCTAGCTATAAAGCCATCTCAAATCAGTTTCAGCAGGTTATGGGCCAAGAAACATTTCCCCCATTGAGATAGATGGGTCCTGTCCATAATTATAAAACCCAAAATTCTGGTGGAGGAACCAGGCTTGGAGCCAGGCATTGATGACCAGGGCTTGCCTATTTCTTTCCCTGTCTCTCCCCATTACTGTGAGGACTGAAGAAAACAGTGTGCACTCCAGAATCTTTTAGTTGCCTCCCCAGGGCCATTAAATCTTTCTTGATTGACCTCAGGCTTTCTGTAGCCACGTTGTTGGTACCCATTTGAAAGAGGAGGCACACATAATGGTCTAAAGGCATTATGCTTGAAAGCTTCCTGGTAACGTCCCTCATCTGGGACCAAGGGAGGCAGCAAACTTCTGTGAAAAAGCTCTGGTCTGCAGATGAGAGCCTCCATTCCCTTGACAAGGAGTCAACTTTGAATACAACTCAATACTGTTTTATCCCAGTAGTGGTCTTGATGTTGCCCTTGCTACAAGGCCTCAGATGACTTGACCTTGGATGGAGAACTTGCATGGATGCCTTTTTCCCTCTTTTCACATCCCTCACCTGCCACAGCCAAGGCTTTGTACCTACCCAGTAGTGGAAGGTGA